ATAAACTCAGAAGAATTTGTAATGAACTCAAAAACAAACTACAAAGAAAATTAGACAATTTAATTGAAAATAGTGATTGGACAAAGCATGCTAATAACAATTTTGTAATTAATTTATCAGATGAAGTGTTAGACAAAAATACAACTGCTGCTCTAGGTTATGGTCTAAGTTTTGCAACTTCAAAAAAACTTAATAATGCTGAAATTGCAAAAGCCTTTTGTAACTTTGAAAAATTTTGTGATTTATCCACTGATGAAATTAATATCAGTAAGGGAATGGTATATAACTCTATGTTAAAACAAAACATTCCCAATTGCCCTCAAAGATTCTTTTAAGTCTTGTGATATACTTAACAATAATAAAAATTTGCGCTTTACCAAAGCAGATAAAATAAATGCAATAGTAATTATGAAAGAAAATGATTACCAAACAAAATGAATAAACTCTTAGATGATACTGAAACCTATTCTAAATTTAGAAAGAATCCCTTAGGAACCGTTAACAGCAATTTCAATAAAACAATAAAACTTCTTATACAATCCCATTTATAAATATATTAAACAACCATGGTGACATTACACATCCACATATGTATACATGTGTTACATACATACATACATACATACATACATATATTCAAACATACAAACAAAACAAAAATACATACATACATACATACATACATACATACATACATACATATATACATACATACATACATACATGCATACATACAAACAAACAAAAATACATACATACATACATTCATAAATGAACAGATGCATACATATATACATACATGCAAAACATACATACAAACAAACATTCATTCATTATATACAAAATTACTCACATACTTTCAAAACTACATACATACATACATACATACATACGTACATGGCTACATCATGCTGCCACCACTTATATGCATACGAGTGTATATGTACTGACAATACACACATACAAACATACATGCAGCATGTATGCATACATAAATTCATGTATACAGTCAAGCATTCATACATGTACACCTGTAAGGACCTACATAATTACAAACGTATTATTGCAATTATTCAAACCAACATAATTGCAATAATACGTTTGTAATTATGTAGGTCCTTACAGGTGTACATGTATGAATGCTTGACTGTATACATGAATTTATGTATGCATACATGCTGCATGTATGTTTGTATGTGTGTATTGTCAGTACATATACACTCGTATGCATATAAGTGGTGGCAGCATGATGTAGCCATGTATGTATGTATGTATGTATGTATGTATGTATGTATGTATGTATGTATGTATGTATGTATGTATGTAATTTTGAAAGTATGTGAGTAATTTTGTATGTAATGAATGAATGTTTGTTTGTATGTTTTACATTTATTCACAACCAACATACATGCATCGATATATATATGCTACATATAAGCATACACATTCATATTACATACATGCATTCATTCATTCTTTCATATATATATATATATATATTATATTATATATATATATATATATATATATATATATATATATATATATATATATATATATATATATATATATATATATATATATATATCGTGCCGAATAGGCAGAACTTGCGATCTTGGCTTAAATAGCAACGCTCATCTTGCCATATAGGACAAGTGAAAATTTGTGTATGCAATAATTTCGCCAAAATCATCATGAACCTAACAAAAAAAATATATTTCACTGTGTTTGTTTAGTATTAAATTATTGTAAACAAATCTAAAATATATTTAGTTGGGTTAGGCTAAAATAAGTTGCTCTTGTTATAATAAGGTTAGGTAAGTTTTCTAAGATTCTTTTGGTGCAAAATTAAAAAAAATTTACATTAACATTAATGAAAAAAATATATCTTTAAACGTATAAGAGAAAATTTCAGAGAGGACCTATTCTTAAATGAGTTCTTGCTAATTGACCAGTTTTATATATACATATATATATATATATATATATATATATATATATATATATATATATATATATATATATATATATATATATATATATATATATATATAATGCAAAACAACCACTCTGAAAGAATAGAGAAATTCTAAGCGCTTTCGTGACTACTCACATTATCAAGGAACTATGAAAGTAAAGCATCCAAGGAAGCTATATAAGGGGTCTGGCCAACACCTCACTATCAGATCCCACAACGGTTTAAAGGCTGATGCATCTTACGAAGAATGACTCATCTGATCAGCTTCAAACTTTTACTACTGGTCTGGTAGTTTCCTGAACACAATGTTCCCTGCCATTAGTCCCAGTTCACTATTTTTATTAATTAACTGGATTATTAATTTTTCAATCGGCAATTAAGAATGCTTCTTCTAACTTTCGATCCATAAAATGAATTTATTATCGCTTTATTTATAATATTTTACAATTAACTTACATATTTAAAACTTCTCAGATTATGGAAATATTATGAACATATTTAAGTACTTAAGCATAATAAAAT